TCTCTGTTCCTCTCTCTCCCTCCCACTCTACCTGAACAAAAAAATGGGAAAATGTCCTCGGGTGAGGATAAAAAAAATAAAATAAAAAAAATAAGCCATACAAAAAGACTACATATTATATAATTTTATTTATATAAAATTCTAGAAAATGCAAACTAATCTACAGTGACAGTTCAGTGTTGCTTGAGGAGAGGGCGAGAAGGGTGATAAAGGGGCAGGAGGAAACATTTGGGGTGATGGGTATGTACACTGTCTTGATTGTGGTGGTTTCATGGGCGTAGACATATGCAAAAACTTATCAAACTGTGCACTTTAAATATGTGCAGTTATTGTATATCAACTATACCTCAATAAAACTTTTTTTTTAATGCATGGCTTCTAGCCAAGATGGATTGGATTTACTCTCCTGATTCAAGCAACTACAAAGCTAGGCAAAATATATAAAACAATGGTTATGAGTCACTGGATGGGACAACAGGAAGCACAGGAGAGTAATCCTAGAGAGAAGAAACAAACAGTGGGCCCATGCTTCAGCTCACTGTCTGGAAAGTTTCTAGGCCTCAGCACAGAGAAAACCCAAGCAACGCCCTTGATCTTTCTGAGATGAGAAGGCAGAGCCTGGAGATGAGGGAGGCCAAGGTTGCTAGATGTGAATGGGAGAAAGTACTGGAGAGGACAGAGCTGAACAGAGTGCTGTAGAGATCTGCAGAAGGTTCCTTTTGAGGCTTCAACTGAGTCCTGCTCTGTGCATGCATGTAAGGAAAGGGAAAGACCTACTGGAATGAAGCAGGTGAACAATCCCTGGAGCTCACCCAGGCCTGAGAAGAGTTCAGGTTCCCACCGACCAGCATGTAAAAACACCCCCTAACAGTGGCTCATCCAGTCGAGTCCTCAGAAGGAAAGTGCCTCAGGAGTGGGGCCAAGTGAGCCTGAGGCTAACGGCTGTTCTGGACTCACACCAACAAAACTTAAAAGCAAGCTTCGAAAAGGAGCAAACTGATTCCAAGAAACTTATCCATGTCCTACGACAAAGCCAAAAAGTATCAAAAGGAAGAAAGACTTCAGCATCTGACAATGTAAAATTCACAACTGTCAACCATAAATATAGATATTGACACAGACATAGACATAGATATAGATACAGATAGATAGATGTAGATATATCCCAAAACCAAACCAGGAGAAAAATCAGTAATACAAACACTGCTAGAAATTACAAAGATAATAGCATAGAAAAGAAAAAATCAGAAGGGAAATTACAAAATATTTTAAACAAAGAAAAATAAAACCACATATATCAAATTCATTGTATGCAGCTATAACAGTGCTTAGAAGACTATTTAGAGCATTAAACTCATTTTATAAAAGAAACGTTTAAAAATCAATGACTGGGCCCTGGCTGGTTTGGCTCAGCGGTTGGAGTGTTGGCCTGTGGACCAGAGAGTCCTGGGTTCAGTTCCCACTAGGGGCACGTACCAAAAAAAAAAAAAAAAAAATCAATGACTGGTATGGATAGGGTATAGTTAAAAAGGAATAGAATTTTTTGGTTGAAAATGCTGTAAAACATATCCTAATTATAGTGGTGCTCACACAAATCCATACATGTACTAAAATTCATAGAACTATAAACAAAAAGTTAATTTTACTGTATGTTAATTTAAAAAGTAAAATAAAAATCTATGATTAAGCTTCCATCTTAAGAAACAACAACAAAAAAGAGTAAATTAAATCTGAAGTAAGCAGCTAAAGGTAAGAAATAAAGATAAGCACAGAAATTAATGCAATAAAAAACAGAAAAACAGCTTTGGCCAATTTTGCTCAGTGGTTAGAGCATCAGTCCATGGACAAGAGAGTCCTGGGTTTAGTTCCGCTGAGGGTGCGTACCTTGGTCGCTGTTTGTCCCTACCCCGGTGGTTGTGTGGGTGACAACCACTCGATGTGTCTCTCTCACGTCAATGTTTCTCTCTCCCTTTCTCTCTCTCCTTTTCTTCCTCTCCCCGTCCGCCCTATCTGAGGATAAATACAAAAATGTCCTCAGGTGAGGATGAAAACAAAACAAAATAAAAAAACAGAAAAGTCAATAAAACCAAAAGAAAGTTCTTTAAAAATATCTATAAAATTAATATAAAATTGATAAATCTCTAACCAACCTAATCAGAAAACTAAGACCTAAATTATTAACACCATGAATTAGAAAGGGGCTATCACTACAGATCCTACAGGCATTAAAAGGATAATAAAGAAATATAATGAACAAGTTTACGTCAATACACTCAACAGTTTAGATGAAAGGACAAATTTCTTGAAAGACAGGTTACAAAAGCTCACTCAAGAAACAGATAGGGTTCAATAGCCCTATATCTACTAAAGAAATTGAGTAGTTAAAACCTTCCCTCAAATAAAACTTTAGGTCCAGATGGCTTCACTGGCGAATTCTACCAAATAGTTAAGGAAGAAATAATACCAGTTCTACAAAAACTCCTCCAGAAAATTCAGGAGGACGGAATACTTCCCAATTCATTCCATAAAATGAACATATCTCTGGGAGTAAATAAGAGAATTATAAGAAGACCACAGACTAATATCACTCATGAACAGATGCAAAAATCCTGAGCCAAATTTCAGCAAATCAAATCCAGTAATCAGTAAAATGTGCCTGCTACATTAACTGGTACTAACTCAGAGTGATTATCACCTGAAGGGATCAAAGAAAACTTCCTGGAGAAGGTGACTTTTGAGAGGACTCCTGACAGGCAAGCAAAATTTTAATAGGTGGTGGTGGTGATGGGACAGAGAAAATAGTTAAGAAAAATCACAAATAAATATAAGAAGGTGGCCAACTAGCCAGAAACAGTAGGCATGTTGGCACTGACTAGGGTGGCTGCCAGGCTTTCAAAGAGCTCCTTGCTCTGGGAATAGTCCCAGACACAGTGCTGAGCCCATGGGGCCAAGTCTGTGCTGTGTAACCCTGCCCCCCCCTCGCCATACCTGACTGTTCCCAGAGTTAGACACACTACCAAGCTGGAACAATCAGACTCTTGCCCAAGAACCTGAAACTTGAATGAAGGCAAATTCCACCCTGGGATTTGCTGGGGCCAAACAAATCAGGATCTACCTTGAGTGAAGTCCTTAGAGCCGGTCAGTTCCTGCCCTTCCCTGAGCTGTTCAGCAACTTCTTGGACTCTATGAGTTGCTTCTGGGGCCTTCCTATAAACTTTTCCTTTTAGTTAGGTTAATGAGAGGTGGTTTCTATTGCTTGCAACCAAAAGAACATTCAAGAGTTCAATGAGTGCAATAGCAGGTTTATCTCTATGAAAGAGTTCTATCAATACATACAAATGTTAACCCCTGGGCCAGGACAAAGGGTCTGTGATGGGAAGTCAGGGGAATCAGATTAGGTTGGAATGATGGGTGCAGTCTGAATATTGTAAATGATGGGTACAGGAGGGTGAAGTTTAAGGGAGAAAACAAGGCACTAAAGGTTTCTGAACAGGAGAAGGGCACAGTCAACACAGCCTTACAGAGGATTACCTTGCAGTGCCATGGAGGATGGATTATAGAATTCGTTTGACCCCTTGGGAAGGCTGTAATAACAGCCACTGGAATGATGTGATCAGACCTCTCTTGCTCTTATGACTTTGGTTCTCGCCTCTGGCATCTAGCTTAGAGCCAGGCACTGAGTCACACTGAGTTAAATTCTGACCAGAGGCTGAAGAGAGAGTACTGACAAAACCTGATGACTAAATGCTGGGATCCAAGGAGGGAAGGAGCTAAAAGGTCATAGCAGTTTCAACCTTGGCTGGCAATTTCAACTGAACCAGAAATGACAGGATGTATGACGAGGTTAGGGTATATTTATGAGGATGAGTATGGTACAGACAGACTGTTTCAAGGTGTTGCTGAAACACCTAGGTAGAGTGTCCAGCATGCAACTGGCACTTCAGTCTCTTGGAGGTCTGTTTACTCCCAGTAACTGAGGGCTCCCGTGTGCCGAGCACCAAGCCAGGAGCGAACAGGGATCGCAGAAGCCACGGGAGTGAATGAGACTGTGGAGGGAGAAGAGCATCATTGGTCAGTCCTGTCTATGGAAGGAAAAGCCTGGGAATAGTTTCAGTGACATTCAATTAAGGAATGGCAGAATAAATGATGGCACAGACATATGATTAAAAGGAAGAAGGCAATTCCATAGAGATGTGAAATGATGTGCTGATTCACGTTATACTGACTGCTTTTTCAATGTCTCTAGCCATAAACTTAGTACAACCCAGCTCCACTTATTTCCCAATAAGCTTGACTAAAACATCCTTTGATGTAAAGTTTCATCTATGCCAAGCTCAGCTCGTGGCAGGGGCCAGAGGATTATTCTTGATTTCTTCTTGGAAGAGGTTTTGATGTGGAGATTTCAGAACTTGCTCTTGTCAAGCCAGGTGGAGCACACACCAGGCTGTTCCCAGAGAGGAAGTGAATGAATGAATCCTAATCAAATCTGTCGGCTCTGTGGGAGTCTGATCCTGACCGCTCAGCCTCAACAGGGGAAGCCGGAGAACCACACCTTTCTTCAGAAAGGAAACCTACACTTCCACACAATCCACCCAGAGTTTATTTTAGCTCAGAACCCAGAATGAGAACATCAATTATTATAAATAGCAAAACCAAGATTACACTTTGACTAATTTCATTTCTGATGTTAAATAAGAGGAGGTCAACACTGAGGCAGTTGTAAAGCAAGGGGTCGAAAGAAAACCACAGTGTGAATACACTGTCTGGGTCAGACAGTCACACTTGAATCTTTTCCCTCCATATTGCCTAAGTAACCAATTCCTGTGGCTTTAGTCTGTGGAAAAACACCTGAGAAATTCTAACAAGGTTGAAGACAAGTTTTGAGGGAGTCCACCAAAACCAGAAAGGGAAGTAATTCCTCAAGAAAAGCGGCTTTCCTTCTTCCCTCCTGACAGCAGAAGGCAGGGATACCAGAAAGGCAGGGAGGCGAGCGGGCTTACCTTTGTTGTGAGACATGGCATAGAGGAGGCAGAGCACAAAGAGTGCGTGGTAATCATCGTCTGGGCTATCCAGGGCGTGGTACACCATGTCCAGGAAGGGCCTGGAAAAGAGGGACATTCATGCGCTTCATGGTACACAGGAAAACACTTCTCCTCTCCCACCTGCAAACGGGGTGCTAGTCTTTGCCTCTTACAGCTCTGCCACGAGCATGCAGGGAGTCGACCGTGTGCCCAGTCCGGCACCAGGCACGGAGGACACAAGACAAATGAGAGACAGGCTCTGCCTGTGGGAAGCTGCTATCTAGAGGGGCAAGTGACTGAGGAACAGACTACTTAGTCATTCCACAATCATTCACCAGCTGTCCCAGACACTGGGGATAAATGATACCAAGTGAGCAGTAACTGAGAACAGACAAACCACGTCATCACTGCAGAGTGGCAAGAAATGAAGAAAACAGGGCAATGTGACAGACAAGGCACCAAGTGAGAACAATTTCAGTACGTGGGCCTTGGCGCCAGACTGCCTGGACTCAAATTCTGATTCTGCCTCTTTTAGCTGTAAACCCTGAGTAAGTTACCTAAAACCTCTCCATTTCCCCCTCTATAAGATAGAGATTAAAGCCTTACAGGGTTATTATGAGGATTCAAGTGAAATATCCGCTGAAAGGCATTTAACATAAGGCCAGGTACACAGTGGAAAGTGCTAGTACACGGGAGCGGCTACGTAATTTCTATTTTAAATATTTCAAGGGCATTTCTCCATGATCTCACGTCGGCAGGTCCTGGCCCTGCAATTTCTTGGACTGACTTTCCCTGACTGGTGAGAATCGATGAAGTCTCTCACCTCTGATGCTTTGTGGGTGAGATCTATTGAGTGGCCGCAAATATCACAAACCACACGCCCCAAATGCTGCCCTTCCAGGTGAAAGGCCTGGCCCGGAAAGACTCTCCAACAAGGATAATAGAATGTGCACAGTTCTGGCCCTTAGGCCAAAGGCTCTGATCCCATGACTGCCTGTGGCTGCCCCGCTGCATGCCAGGCTGAAGCCGAGAGAGCAGAGTGCCTCAATGAGTACCCAAAGGCACACTTGACCGCTGGAAGAACAAGCAGCTACTGTCAACACTGGTTGTCTGGGGGGAGGGCAACCAGGCTTCAGAGAAGCACTATGTAACCTGTTGTATTTTTTTGAATTTTGAATGCCATAAATGTACCACTGATTCAGAATACTACATTGAAAAATTCAAACGAGAAAGTAGTGAAAACACACTTTTCATAGATTTCAAACAAACACAGGACACCCAGAAATTAAAGGAAGAACCTTAATGGGGACATTTATGTTTGGGCTGTTTCCCCTGAGCCCCAGATCGAGCATCACCTTTCAGATACATGAATAGTTCTGCAATGTGTGCATTTGGATTTTTGTAAGCCCATAGCGGTAACACTTTCAAATTAAAAGTGGGATAAAGTAGAAAATATTTTCTTGTAAACAAGCTGCTTGGAGTTTGGATTGTATATTCATTTGGGAATAAGGTGAATAACCAAATACCCAGTAGCAGAGGGAGGGCTGGGTGAATATACTATCTGTTATGAGATGAAGTACTATGAAGCCATTAGCATTCTGTTTACTAAGAGTACAATAAAGTGAAAAAGAGTTTGGGGTTTGAATAGACAAGAAAAAAGAAGAAAATGACAGACATGGTATGTATAAGTTATTGGCGGGGGGTTGGGAGGGTGAAGGAGAGCAAAATTCCCACTAAACTCGCATTTTAAAAAAACTGGCAGGAAATAGCCAACATGTTAGTAACAGCTGCCTTTGAATTCTGGCATCATGAAAACCATTTTTTCCTTCTTTACACATTTCAAGCCTTTTTTTTTTTTTTTTTAAGAAAAGCACGTTTTAAATGGCTTTTAGTTTCTTGGCCTATATGTAATTCTGAATGCAGATTTAGCCCATCTACAACAACAGTTACGCTTTGTACTACACTGTTTCTTCAGACAAGTGGACCAATGTCAAGATCCAATTCATGTCAAGAACAAACTGTCTCCCTCCCTCACCGTCAGTGCTTTCCCTGCTCAGTGCCGGGAACTGGGAGGACAGAAGACCTTGGCGGTGTTTCTGACAATCATCAACTCAATACCTTTGCAAAGGAAAAGGCAACTCTCCACCTGGACTGCTCTCTCCGTGGCATTCAGTCTCCGGACAGAACAGGGCTCTAGACCAAAAACTCCTGGGGCCACCAGCCTGGATGTGGCCCAACTCAAGGCACCAGGATCAGATTTCATTATAAACCACACGATAGAAGATGCCACTTAAAGTCACTGAAAGTTAAGGAACAATCTCAATCAACTCTAAGAAAATTCCTGCTTTACTAAAATTCAGGGGGAAAAAAGAAGTCTCATCTCCAACATTCAAACATAACATTTTGGTCTGTTCACCTTTTTTTTGGAGAACAGATAGATATTTTTCTTCCTTTAGCAAAGCTAAAGTTTTATCCTACTATGTAAAATATGTGCTGTTCTCATTAGATTCTAAGAAACTGAACACATTAACAGTATTCACTTAAAAGCAATGGCTAATAATCTATTAAGCAGATGCACCTTCATTTACTTGAGCATCCCCCACTTCTAGTCATCTGTGGTTTTCCCAATTGTTCATATTCTAACTAATGCTGTGCCAAGCACCTGAAGGTTGTTTCCCCCTTCTATTCTGTGTTTAGAATTATTTCCTTAAATTTCAGAGCTTGAGGGGTTACATTGTATTTTGCTGCCAAGCAAATAAAAAAGGTCTTTTTAAGTTACAGCAACTGATAGCCCTCACTGCACTCCAGTGTGTTCTATTTAACCAAAACTAAAAGTGGCTCCCTTGTGCATCTGATAAAAATGAATTCTGTCAGGTAGCTGAAATATCTGCTAAGCAAAGAGATAAATAAGATGTGGAGGGAAAAGACAGAGTGCTTTAACTCTTCACTTTAGGTAGAATTAATAAATAGAATGGGATATGTGTGAATTTCAACCATCCCACCCTCAGGGTTCAGGAAATGAATTCCTTGTAGGCTGACAGAAAACCATGCTATTGTGCGTTTATTAACACTAACACAGGATTAGGAGGTTACTACAGGAGTCTGTGCAGTGGGACCAGTAGATAAGGAGCACTCCTAACGGGTCACTGCACACTTTGGGAGCAGCCTTCTGTCCAAGTCTATTCCGAAACGGGTGGTGCTACAGCAAGGTTCCAGGAAATGTAGCATCTCGAAGGTTTAAGAGGATGTAGCTTTGGCAGGCCATCACTGAAATGAACAATCAGGCACAAAGTCAAAGGTGGACAGCAGCATTAAATCACACAAGCTGAGTCATGAGGGCAGGCCTTGTGGACAGCTGTGTGCATGGCAGAGAATGAATGAGACAGGGAGACCCAAACACTGCTCCCAAGGGGATCCTTCCTGGGAGCCACAGAGCCTTCCAGGAATGGCCAGTACACATCTACACGACAGCCCACATTCTTTAGAACAGGGCCCAGCCCTGCAGTGCGGGGGGGGGGGGGCATCATGTCTTATTCATTTTCCTTCCAAGAGGTGAGCAATACAGCGTTGAGTGAGAGCTCTGTCCTCATGCCTCTCAAGAAGAGCTTAGGCTCTGGTGGCCAAAGGCTGAAGAAAAGGAAAGACAGGAAGCAAGATGGCCTGGTTGAGAGGCAGAAGAGAACATTTGGGTGGTGGGAAGAGCCCTGGGTTATCCTTAGTGGGCATCCCAGCCACGGCACCCACCCTCACTGCTGAGCCCATCTCCTCATCCCAAAGAGCGAGCAGTAACCCACCGTGCCAGGCTGGCTTGTAGGCAGCCTCACCCCAGCATCAGCACGAGTGCTGTAGGGCGGGGCCTCCTACCTGCTCCACTGCACACTCTCTAAGCCAGTGGCGGCGCTCTTCTCCTCGTCTGTGGTGTTCTGCTCCTGCATGGACGTGCTGGCCGCCAACTCTGGGAGCTTGCTGCGCTCCATGATCACCATCTCTATCTCTGGAAGCAAATACAGAAACTGGGATGAGCCCAGATAGCTTCCCAGACCTAGATTTGTAGACATACTTGTGTTGGAGACAAAACCCCAGAAATCGCTCCTAACACATCAAGCAAATCAAGCAAATGTTCAACGGTGGTGACGGGCACCATCAACATGCTGGGGGAAATATAAAACAAATGCCAGAACCTTCCCTTTCCTTTCATCTTGGCATTACCAAGAAACGAGGCCCTGATTTTGACAGGAAAGCACAAATTGCAATAATTTATTTTATTTCAAGGTTTTTAAAAAAGAATTTATTTTACTTTACTGATACCACACTTCCTTCCCAAAAGAGTTGAGGCAGCATAGAAGAAATACCTGGTGAATAAAACATAACCAAAGTCACTGAAAACACTCTTAAACTGTTTATACTTTAGAAAAAGCTTGGATGTGACTGAAGCCTTTTGTTTTCCCTTTCTATTTATAACTGCTAGATGGCAGAGAAAGGTTAGGAACCATGTTTTATTTTTCCCAGTTAAAGAAGGGCAATTTGTCAACTGACTTAAGTATGGTGTACATTTTATTTTTCAGACAAAGGCATGAACCAATAAAGGAAAACATTTTGAATTAGAGATGGATGGTTATTGCACAGTAGTGTCCTGTTACAGAGTTCTTTGACACACGGGTATAGACCTTCAAATACTCAGTTCTTGGAACCCAGAGTTCAGTTCATTTTCCCCATCTTTGGGAGACACAATGAGGGGGGAAAAGATCATTAATATGTGAACCTGTATTTCTGTTTCTGGAAAGATGGGTGCATACCTGGGTTCTGCCGTGACCTCTGCCATCATCTTTCCCTGGACTCACACAGGGGTCCCCACTTGGCCACTGCTTCCTTTTCTGCTTGCTCAGTTTGTTCTCTATACAGATGCAAGTGATTTTAAATGGAAATGAGCTCATGTCATCCTTCTGTTCAAAACTCCACACTGCCTTCCCACCATATTCAGGATGAAATCCAAATGCCTCCATGGTGTCAAGGTCTAGAATGGCCTGGCACCCGGCCACCTCCGACTTCACCTCCTGGCCCTCTCCACCCAGCACCACTCCAGCTGCACTGAGCTTTTCTCACTCTTCTTTGACCAGCCCAAGTGTCTTTCTGCCCCAGGATCTTTACACGGCTGTTTCCTCTGCTGGGAATGCTCTCACCCCAGGTCTCCCTGCTCAGGCATGACTCAATCCCATCATTCAAGCTCAGATGTCACCACCTCAGGGACCTCTCGGAGGTCATCTCTACCTGTTTTTTCTTTACCTCTTCAAATTATTAATTAAACTGCATACTTCAGAATTCAGATTTCCTTAGTTTCCCCCTAATACCCTTTTCTGTCCCAGGATCCCATCTAGAACATCAAATTACTTCTAGGCTCCTTTTGGTTGTGACAGTTTCTCAGACTTTCCTTGATTCTGATGACCTTATAGTTTGAAGAGAACTGGTCAGGTAATTTGCAGAATGTTCCTCAATCTGGATTTGTCTAATGTTTTTCTGATAATTAGACTGGGGTTATAGGTTTCTGGGAGGATGACCACAGAAGGGAAGTGCCCTTCTCATCACATCACATCATATCAAGGGTACAGGGTATCAACATGACTCATGACTGCTGATGTTATCTCTGTCACTTGGCCAAGCGTATGTTGCTCAGGTTTCTCCACTGGAAAGGTACTTTTCTCCTCCTTTCATTCCATACTCTTTGGAAGCAAGTCATTAAGCACAGCCTACACTTAAGGAACAGGGAGTTGCTACATAAATTATGTGAACTTCTTCTGTATAGATTTGTCCCTTCCCTCCTTATCTTGATTTCACTTTATAGCATTTATAACTACCTAGATTTTACACCTTCTATTTGTTGGTTTGCTTGTTGCCTTTCTGCCTTCCCCTATTAGAATGTGGGCTTCATAAGAGTGGCTGCCTTAGCTGCCTTGTTCTCCACTATAACTCCAGTGTCTGGCCCAGGGCCTGGCACCTGGTAGGTGCAGAACAAGTATCACTGGAATGGATGAATGGACAAATGAATGACTGGTCTAGCCCAATGCAAGAGGTTCTGGAGGCAGGCAGGGTCTGAGCCAATGTGGGAGGTTCTGGAAGCTGCAACACATATCGAGATGATCCACAGCCCCACCCATTCTACATCGGATGTGTTCTCACAGGGAGGTGGCACATCCCCACCGCACTTCTGGGACTCTTGGGCATGACTGCTTGTGATTTGTCTGTGTGTGGAAGAGTTCACCCCCCTGGGCCTGGACCTCAGCAGGAGACGAGGGGCCTCTCTCTCACCAGCCCCTTTGCCCCACTATGGTGTGGAGTCAGATGCCACAGACTGCAGTCTTCCACAGCGCTGCCCCCCACTACACAGATGGGGGCTCACATGATTTTTAAGTGGTATGTGGACAAATATTTTCTTTGCATAATTTTGTATTTATTTTAATGTGTATTAGAAGAAAATTCCAACTGCACAGAAAATCTGTTTTTTGTGTGGATGTTACTACTTAGGATGAGGCTATTTAAGAAAAACAAAAACAAAACAAGTGAGTAGAGTCACAGAGAGCCCATGAGTGAACAGCAGTCCACGGAGCACAGGGCTACGTCAATGAGCAGGAGGTGGTGCAGACTGCAGTCTGGGAACCATCACTCTTCCCTGTCCTTGCATCTTCACCTCCACCAACCCCCTCAGATGTCCCCCAGCTACCCCAGTCTTCTCCACAGTGGGGTGCAGATACCTTGGTGGGTATGCAAGATGATTCACTGGGCAGTACCTCATTTATTTTTAATTATTCTCATCTTAAAAAAAATCCATGTTGCTGGTTTTATAATATACATAACATTAGCCCAGTAATGTCAAATGTATAATTTATAGTAAATAAATATATATATTTGGGAGATACATGCATAAATTATGTATTTACTGTGGAACCTCTCATTTTCAAACTTAATTCGTTCTGGAAGGCTGTTCAAAAAGCGATTTGTTCAAAAACTGAATCATTTTTTCCCATTAAAAATAATGTAAATCGAGTTTATCCAGACCCACAAATGATTGTGTTTTAACCTTTCTTATATACAATGCATATCTAATGCACTGTTTCATCTATAAATAAACACGTATTTTCTTAAATTTATTGAACCATCCCCTCCTAGCCTTAAAGGAATCACTTTCAGCACTGTTCCCAGGGGCGTCTTTCAGGAAGTCAGCATGCAGCATCTTTGCTTTTTCATGTATCACTGCCTCCAAAATGCTATCACCAGCTAACTGCTTTTCCTTCATCCACATCAACCACACCTCTTTTACCTCTTCAATTGCTGTGACTGTTGTTTTGTGAGCACTTTCACACCCTTAGCAACATCAGCACTCTTGATGGCCTCTTTATGTTTTAAAATTGTGCTAATCATAGATTTCACCAGCAACAAAAGCAGTCCCTCCTTTGCTTGTTGTCTAAGGGATGCTTTTTTGTCACAATGAGGCACAACATGAAAGGACTGATGGGTAGAAAACAGAAGTATGGTGAACAACCTGGTTGAAAACCAAATTGTTTCAGATGGAAGATGTTCAAGAACAGAAGTTTGACTGTGTTTGTGTTTACTGATAGATGTGCCAACAAGGACATCTGAAGACCACCAAGCTAGACTACAGCACCAACCTCCCACTCTGGTTTCTGCCCTATGACCTTTGACCTGCCTCCTGCCTTAGTGCAAGCTCTCCTTCCTCCTGGCCTCGCTGTCATGGCAGGAACTCAGCTCCAAGGACCCCCAAGTTATGGGGCCAAGTCCGAGCGCCTCGGCCTGGAGAACAGGAATGCGGTGATGTGGTTGTTCCCTTTCAGTTTTTAATCTCCCTGGACACTATGAGAATTCTGGAGCAGAGGAGAAAGAGGTTAAAGATAACCTAGTCAGTGCTCATCAAACTTTGTTAAGCAGTAGATATTAATTTTGGACAATTTCCTGTGGCACACAACCCTGGTAAGCCAATGAGATCAGAGCTGCTCTAGATAGAGTGGGTGGGCCCCAAACATCTCTGAACCACAGGTTCACTCAACTGTTCCACAGAGGCCCCTAAAGCTTGTTGGCGGAATTCTGGCACTTCACACGAAACTGGCTGAAAACCACTGGTTTGGTCCTGGATACTCTGTATGTGGAAACAGAAACCCAGAAGAGCAACGACTCTTAATACAGCTAGGAAAGTAACATCGAAAGCCAGGCCTGCTTCCCCTCTTCATCTCCACGTCACATCCTGGTGCAGGCCCAGGCCCACAGGGACCTCTCCACACAGAATGAGGAGTCCAAACCTTGGCTGGGTCACACCCTGGTTCTCACAGCTGCACCCCCATCCCTCCCATATATCCTGACCCAGCCAGCATAGTTGTGGAGTGAGCTGTTTGATTTAGATCAATTGTCTAGATGAATATAGAACAGTTCTTCCAATGCCAAGACAGTTTTTCCCCACCTTCTTTTAAACAATTTTATCCAAAGAACTCTTAAAAGTAGTAATTCCTGCCCTGGCCGATTTGGCTCAGTGGTTAGAGCATTGGCCTGTGGTCCAGAGAGACCTGGGTTCGGTTCCAGCTAAGGGCGTGTACCTCGGTTGCAGTATGTTCCTGGCCCTGGTTGGTCGTGCGGTGGCAGCCACTCGATGTGTCCCTTTCACATCAATGTTTCTCTCTCTCTCTCTCTCTCCCTCTCTCTCTCTCTCTCTCTTCCTCTCTCTCCCTCCCACTCTGTCTGAACAAAAAATGTCCTCAGGTGAGGATAAAAAAAAAAAAAAAAAGTAGTAATTCCTACCTAGGATCTGCCAACTCCCTGCATACAAAAGACTACATAGACATGAAAGGAATAGGTAATAACTTTTTGGGGAAGAGGGTCTCTCCAGATTCTCACTGCTCTGAAACAGATTCTATATCCATCTTTAAAAGATAATTTGACTTTTCCTAGTGATTCAGGGTCAAGTGAACCCCCTTTACGCCACTCCAGAACTTC